TTTTAGGGTGGGTTTTTCTAATTCTGTAAAAAACACTATTGGAATTTTGATAGGGATTGCATTGAATCTGTAGATTGCTTTGGGTAGTGTTGTCATCTTAACAATATTAAGTCTTCCAGTCCATCAGCATAGGATATCTTTCCATTTATTATGTCTTTTTTTTTCCAGCTTTATTTAGGTATAATTGACAAATAAGATTGTAAGATATTTAAAGTGCACAACATGATGATTTGATATACATGTACATGGTGAGAAGATTATTTAGGTCTTCTTTTTTTTTTTAAAGGTTTTATTTGTTTATTTTTTTCCCCCCAAAGCCCCAGTAAATAGTTGTATGTCATAGCTGCACATCCTTCTAGTTGCTGTATGTGGGACACGGCCTCAGCATGGCCGGAGAAGCGGTGCGTCGGTGCGCGCCTGGGATCCGAACCCGGGCCGCCAGCAGCGGAGCGCGCACACTTAACTGCTAAGCCATGGGGCAGGCCCTATTTAGGTCTTCTTTAATCTAATTCTCTCCACAATGTTTTGTAGTTTTTAGTGTACAGATCTTTCACGTTCTTGGTTAACTTTATTCCTAAATATTTTATTCTTTTTGATGCTGTTGTGAATGGATGTTTTTTTTTTTTAATTTCCTTTTTGGATGGTTCATTGCAATTGTATAGAAATACAATTTGGGGTGTTAATTTTATATCCTGCAACTTTGCTGTATTCATTTATTAGGTCTAACAATTTTTTTTGTGGATTCTTCAGGGTTTTCTGTATATAAGATCATGTCATTCTGCAAACAGAGATAATTTGAATTTTTCCTTTCCAATTTGGATGCCTTTTATTTCTTTTTCTTTCCTAATTGTTTTGGCGAGAACTTCCAGTAATATATTTACATAGAAGTGGAAAAGCAGGCATCTTGTCTCACTCCTGATCTTAGGGAAAAAGCTTTGTCTTTTACCATTGAGTATGGTGTTAGCTGTGGGTTTTTCATGTATGCCTTTATCATGTTGAGGAAGTTTCCTTGTATTCCCAGTTTATTCATTTTTTTCTTTTAATCGTGAAAGAGCATTGAGTTTTGTTAAATGCTTTTTCTGCATCATTGAGATGATCATATAGTTTTTTTCCCTTCATTTTATTAATGTGGTGTATATTGCTTGATATTCTTATGTTGAACCACCATTACATTCCTGGGATAAATACCACTGGTCATGGTGTGTAATCCCTTTAACATCTTGCAGGATTTGGTGTGCTAGTATTTTTTTGAGGATTTTTATGTTTATATTCATAATGGATATTTTCTTTACTTGTAGTGTCTTTTTGTGTGTGTGTGAGGAGATCAACCCTGTGCTAATGTCTGCCAATACTCCTCCTTTTTTTTTTTTTTTTCCTGAGGAAGACTGGCCCTGGGCTAACATCCGTGCCCATCTTCCTCCACTTTATATGGGACGCTGCCACAGCATGGCTTGCCAAGCAGTGCATAGGTGCACGCCCGGGATCTGAACCGGCGAACCCTGGGCCGCCGCAGCAGAGCGCGCGCACTTAACCGCTTGTGCCACCGGGCCAGCCCCTACTGTCTTTGATTGGCTTTCGTATCAGGGTAATGCTGGCCTTATAACATATGAGTTAGGAAGTTTTCTCTCCTCTTCAATTTTTTGGAAGAGTTTAAGAAGGGTTGGTGTTATTTCTTTAAATATTTAGTAGAATTTACCAGTGAAGACATCTGGTCCTGGGCTTTTCTTTGTTAGGTTTTTATTACCAATTCCATCTCCTTACTTGTTATAGGTCTGTTGAGATTTTTCTATTTCTTCTTGAGTCACTTTGGAAGTTTATGTGTTTCTAGGAATTTGTTTCCTCTAGGTTATCCAATTTGTTGGATTACTATTTTTTATAGTGTTCTCTTATAATCCTTTTTATTACTGTATATTCAGTAGTAATGTTCCCACTTTTATTTCTGATTTTAGTAATGTGAATCTTCTCTTTTTTTTTTTTTGTGAGGAAGATCAGCCCTGAGCTAACATCCATACTAATCCTCCTCTTTTCCCCCAAAGCCCCAGTAGATAGTTGTATGTCATAGTTGCACACCCTTCTAGTTGCTGTATGTAGGACGCGGCCTCAGCATGGCCGGAGAAGCGCTGCGTCGGTGTGTGCCTGGGATCCGAACCGGGGCCGCCAGTAGTGGAGCGCGCGCACTTAACTGCTAAGCCGTGGGGCTGGCCCTGAATCTTCTCTTTTTTCTTAGTCAGTCAAAGAAGCAAATTTTAGTTTCACTGATTTTTGTATTATTTGTCTATGCTCTATTTTATAGTTTATCGCCACTCTGAATTTTCCTCTTTCTGCTAGCTTTGAATCTAGTTTGCTCCTTTTTCTCCTACTTCCTTAAGATATACAATTAGGTTATTAATTTGAGATCTTTCTTCTTTTTAAATGTAGGCATTTACAACTATAAATTTCCCTCTTAGCACTGCTTTCAGTGCATCCCATAAGTTTTGGTATATTGTGGTTTTGTTTTCACTTGTCTCAAGGTATTTTCTTTTCTTCTTTGTTTTTTTGGTGAGGAAGATCAGCCCTGAGCTAACATCTATGCCAATCCTCCTCTTTTTGCTGAGGAAGGCTGGCCCTGGGCTAACATCTGTGCCCATCTTCCTCCGCTTTATATGGGATGCTGCCACAGCATGGCCGGACAAGAGGTGTATCGATGCGCGCCCAGGATCTGAACCCGGGCCGCCAGCAGCAGAGCATGCGCACTTAACCGCGATGCCACAGGGCTGGCCCTCAAGGTATTTTCTACTTTCCCTTGTGATTTACATCTATACATTTGGGTTTTTTTATTTTTATTTTTTGCTGAGGAAGATTCGCCATGAGCTAACATCTCTTGCCAATTTTCCTCTTTTTGCTGAGGAAGATTCACCCTGAGCTAACATCTGTTGCCAATCTTCCTCTTTTTGTATGTGGGTTGCTGTCACAGCATGGCCACTGACAGACGAGTGGTGTAGGTCCGCACCCAGGAATCAAACCTGGGCTGCCAAAGCGGAGCATGCCGAACTTAGCCACTAGACCACCAGGGCTGGCCCTACATCTATACACTTAAATCAATATGGTTGTGGTAGGTTGTTGGTAGTGACATTTTAAAATGATTTTTCCAGCATTTTTAGATTTTCCAGATTTTTAGATGTTTTAGATGTTTAGAGAGTGTGCCTTGCATTATAGTTTTTAATTTCAATGACTGGGTTTTTTTTTTTTTCATAGAAGTTCCAATTTTTTTTCAAGTCTTCTTGTTTTTGGTTGTATCTTATTCTTTTCTTTATTCTTTTAATTCCTTCTTTTATGTCTTTAATTGTTTTAAACGTACTGTTCTTATTTTATAGTAGTTCTGTATTCTTTTTTTTGTGTGTGTGAGGAAGATCAGCCCTGAGCTAACATCCATGCCAATCCTCCACTTCTTGGTGAGGAAGACTGGCCCTGGGCTAACGTCTGTGCCTACCTTCCTCCACTTTATACGGGACGCCGCCACAGCATGGCCTGACAAGCGGTGCGTTGGTGCGCGCCCAGGATCCAAACCTGGGCCACTAGCAGCAGAGCGCGCGCACTTAACCACTACGCCATGGGGCCGGCCCCTGGTTCTGTATTCTTGATATCTCACCCTTTGTTTGAGGTTTCCCCTGATGGCACCATGCTAAATTGTTTTATTGTGTGTTTTATGATTTTAGGTTATATGGTAATGTTTAGTGGAGCTTTATGGAAATCCCATGGGGCCTGAGTTGAGGGTTTGGTGTACATTTCATCTGTCAACCTGAGTGACAAGCATGTGTTTCAAATGATCAAAGCAAAGTCTGTCACACCCCTCAAGCTAGAATGCAAGCTCCATGAAATCAGGAATCTTTGTTTTGTTCACTGATATCTCCCAAATTGTCTACTACAGTGCACGGCACATACTAGGTACCCTACCTGTATTTGTTGAACTGAATCTATCATCTTTCTTTACTGATGGGAGGGTTAATTTTGACTAATGCACTCTTTAGTTGAGGAAGTAGTGATGTACTATTGTAAGTACTTTATATCAGTAATGGCTAGGGTTTTCATTTGAATTTTTGCCTATTTGTTCCAGTAACATGACCTTGACCCCATGCTATGCAAAAAGATAATTCTAGTCTTATCATGATGAATGGGCATTTGCCTCCATCCTGAGTCTGTTTTTGTTTCAGAGGCCTCACATTAGTTGAATTTGGCTCTATCAGCCATCTTCAATTTATTTTTCATTAATCCTCAAATTTCTGTTTTTGTGGAGGATGAGAAGGCATATTTTATTTTTTAATAAAAATAATCAGATTAAGCTTTGAAGCTAAAAAAAATCCTTCTTCAAATGATATGGTTTATTAGTGAGAATTTAGATAACCATCAAACATAAGGAATAATAAATGAAAAGTAGAAAAAATTAGCAAAGAGAAAAATTTTGTGGTTTTTTTTTTTTTTCCAACTTAAAGACCTGTGGTACATTTTTCTGATTAATACACTGACCAAGGGCAGGAGAAAACCCACCCATATTGAGGGAGAGTATAACTGAATGGTTAATTTATTTTTCATTTTAGTGCAATGCTCATTAAATTATTTTAAAATAAAATTTAAATGCTGTTATCTAGCACATCTTGAGATTATCCTTAAAGACTATTAAAGAAGAAAATTTAACTATTTTATATCATAACATTAGCAATAAATTCGGTAGACTTCTTCATTTGGTATGATACAAATTAGATGGATCATGGATGTAAGCAGAAATAAAATTGCTACCTTGAGTTACACTGAAGTTATAAAGAGCTTGTTTTCAAAGAGGTATAGTATTCTCTGTATTGTCTTTATATGATCATGTTGAACTACTATCTGTGGTTTATTATAGAAGAGTATGGATTGACCCACCAGTTGATATTGAAGTGCTTTGTCAAACATCTTTGCAAAAAGGGAGAATAAAAATGGGGTCATGTGACATGACTAAATATTGCTTCTTTTTTGTATTGCAGTTCCAATTCCTAACAGATTTGATCGGCGAGTATCAGGTATGTGTTCTCTTTCATAACATACTGGTAAAATGTTGTTTTAAGATAGGATTATCTTAAATAAAAATAAACTTATCTTTTTAATAAAGAGATAAGTTAACAGCACTACAGAACATTATAAAAATTACCCGTGATTCCTTCATTCTGTTTCATTTCAGGTTCTGAGTATTTTTGTATTGCTATAGCTTGTCTCGTTTGTCATTAATATTTTTCCATGTTCATAATTATGGCTTCTAAAAACTACTTTTCTTTTTTTTTTTTTTTTAAAGATTTTATTTATTTATTTTTCCCCCCAGTGCCACAATAGATAGTTGTATGTCATAGCTGCACATCCTTCTAGTTGCTGTATGTGGGACGCGGCCTCAGCATGGCTGGAGAAGCGGTGAAGCGGTGCGTCGGTGCGCGCCCGGGATCCGAACCCGGGCTGCCAGTAGTGGAGCGTGTGCACTTAACCACTAAGCCACGGGGCCGGCCCTAAAAACTACTTTTCATATTACCATTTCTTGTATTCTAGATTATGTTGCGATTAACTTCTTGCATACATTTTGAGCCACTTAAATTATTTCCTCAGTTATAGTGCTGGGAGTGGCATTCTCTGGTCAGAAACTGAACATTGCCATAGCTTTTTCTGTGTGTTACTTTCTAGAGACAGTCTACAAAAGAGATTGCAGGGAGAAGGACACCTTGCAAAGGCCTCTTTTCCACCACCATCTCACTAACATGGACAGTGCCTTCTTCTTTAATTTAGATGTAAAATAGTACCTTGGACTGTTTTATTTGGCATTCCTTTGATTATTAACAAAAATGAGCGTTTTTCAAATATGGGAAATCTGTTTTTATTTTCGTATATGAGACTACTTTGGTAATATTTTTCCCTTTTATCTGTTATGGTCTAGATTTTTTAAATAAGTTTGAGTAAATTTCTGTCGTGATTTTTAACCTTTTGAAATTTTTTTGTGTGTGTGTGAGAAAGATCAGCCCTGAGCTAACATCCATGCCAATCCTCCTCTTTTTTTTTTTGCTGAGGAAGACCAGCCCTGAGCTAACATCTATTGCCAATCCTCTTCCTTTTTTTTTTCCCTTTTTCTCCCTAAAGCCCCAGTAGATAGTTGTATGTCATAGTTGCACGTCCTTCTAGTTTGCTGTATGTGGGACGCTGTCTCAGCATGGCTGGACAAGCAGTGCGTCGGTGCGCACCCGGGATCCGAACCCCGGGCCGCCAGTAGCGGAGCGCATGCACTTAACCGCTAAGCCACAGGGCCGGCCCCCACCTTTTGAAAATTTTAATGCAAAATTTTCCAAGTTGATTGTGCTACTTATTTTAGTTTTCCTATTTTTTGTTGACTCAAAAATATTAATATGTGACCGGTACCTCAAACACTGCCTGGCACATAGCAGGCACTCAGTAAATACTTATTGATTATATACATCATCTTCTTTTTTTTTTCATGATTGCTCCTAGGCTGAGAAGGTCCCCTTTTTTCATAGAGCTGATAAATATGTTCTCTGAAAATTTTTCTTATAATTAAAATGTTTGACTTTTGATACATCTAGAGTTTATTTGGTTGTAAGGTTGGGATGTTAATGTATTTCAGAATTGCTATGCGAGCTGTATGTGTCACATCTTCTTTCATGTCCCCTTGTTTTAGGAAGGTTTCTTGATTTTAAATTATCATATGACCTAATAGCTAGTTGATAAGGCTCGGAATTCCTTTTCTATCCCTCAGTCCTTTTCTTTGAGAAAATCTGTTCATTTATGTTTTCAGAACCAAAGTCTGTTAAAAGGAGACTGAAGAATGTGTCTTTATGTATAGAGAGTCATTTACAGAGAGGAAATAGAGTAGAGATTAAGGTTGTGCAAAACCCAAAAGGTATTATCTCCCATTTCTGTTCATCCCTGCCCTGCACCCCTTTTTTCCCAAAAGATTAGTAATATCCCTTGACATCTATAGGACAGATCTGGGAGATGGAGAGTACAGTGACATCTCCTCCAGAGGTCACAGATGGTGTTAACAGTTCAAAAATTGCTGCTTGAGCTTTCTGTCAGTGTAGTTCAGTCCTTGAACTCTTTGGAAGACTCAGACAAGTACATGGTATCATCCCTCTCACTTAGATTTTGCAATCTTATTGAAGACTTAAGACTTTTTAATATCATTCAATGGTAAGTGAAAATAAAACATTTTTAAAAGAATCCAAAGTGATTATGCAGGAGAGAAAATAGCCTGTAGCAATAGCCAACAGTTTTTGAGTGCAGACTATGTGCTAGGTGCATAGTTTTAAGGTCTGTCTAAATTCCTGCCTTGTATTGTTGAATGTAATCCTCACATTAAAACTGTGAGGTACATGTCATGATTATCCCCATTGTACAGATGAGGAAACTGGAAGCAAAGGAGAGGTTAAGTAACTTGCAACAGTCGAGGTGATAATGTGCCCAAAGGTAGTATGGGTCCTAAGTACTACCCTTCCCATCTCTAAGGACCCTTTTTTGTACCCTCTGGAACTCTTGTTCAGTCTTCAGCTAAATCCCCTAAATTCTCAGCCTCTTTTCTGAGTGCAGCCTTCATCTTTCTGCTCTAGCTGAAGCTTGGCTTGCCTGCGGGCTTCTCGAATGGTAGCTCTTTTCTCTTCCATCTTCTTTATAACACTGATAGGAGATGAGTGAATGTCTTCATTGTTCCTCATTGCTGATTCCAGATCATTCTCTCTCCTTCCTCCCTAAAACCCTCAGCTTCAAACCTCACGTTATTATATTCTACCAGCCACTGCCCAACCTTGTTTTAGTCATGTAATAATCCCTGGATTGTTCCTCCATATGTCCACATAGATAGTCCTTCCAATGTCTGGCCCATCCATTCCTTGACCTCCTCTCCTCCAAGGATCTTGTCTTCCACCCCACTTCAGCCACTCACTCCCAGGGTTGTACTCTGATATGACAAGCATAACAACTCTTCATACTCTCAATCATTGATCCCAGTCTCCCACACTACCTGCTGTATTCCCAGCTCCTTTGCTGTCCTACTTCAACCCTGACAACTCATTGGTCCTGCCTCCTTTTCACTATTCCTCACTTCCTCTTTACTCACCTTGAATTCTTTGATCAGTGATTCTAATCACATCTTGGCACATACCCTCAATTTACTTTTCCCTTTTTACTTGCTTGGCTAAACCACACTCTGGTTAAGCCCACCTCTCCACTTACTGTGTGTCTGTATCACAGCGGTACTTGATAGAAGGAAAATACACAGCCCTGTTGACTGATCTTACTTTCAGTTTATAATCATTAACTTCTAGTAGGCTTCTGATGCCGGCAATCATACTGTGTTTCCATACTTCTTTCACTCTCCTGCTCTCCTGGATATGTCTTTCATACCTTCTCTCTCCCAAAACTTACAACACCTCCTCCCTGTCCTCATTCCTAGCGGATGTTCTAAGGAAATAGAAGCAACAGAGGAGAATTTCCGTAGACTTCCACAACCACATCTATCCTTTCTCACCTGCCTATGAGTCCAGTGTCCACCTGTACACTAGATCTCATCCCTTCATCCTTCCAACAGTTACCTCTGCTTTGTCTTGCATAATCTTTATCCTTCAATTGAATTATTCTTCTGAGCAAAGAAAAGTTGTTGGCTGTCCCTTCTTAAAAAATAAAACTTTTTTTGTGTGTGTGAGGAGGACCAGCCCTGAACTAACATCCCATGCCAATCCTCCTCTTTTTCGCTGAGGAAGACTGGCCCTGGGCTAACATCCGTGCCCGTCTTCCTCTACTTTATATGGGACGCTGCCACAGCATGGCTTAACAAGCGGTGCGTTGGTGTGCGCCTGGGATCCGAACCGGCGAACCCTGGGCCGCCGCAGCAGAGCGCGTGCACTTAACCGTTTGCGCCACCGGGCCGGCCCCCAAAAAATAAAACTTTTTACAACCACTCTTACCTTTCCAGCCACCACCCTTTTTCTTTCCATATCTTTACAGCAAAACCCCTTGAAAGAGTAGTCCATAATTGTTGTTTCTAGTTTCTCTTCTACTCTTTCTTGAGCCCATTCTAATCAGACTTTTGCTTCCATATCTCACCAAAATTATCTTTGTGGATTGCTTACTCACATTCTTCAAACCTTTTGAAAGACACCTTCTCAGTTAGGCCTTCAATAAGGCCTACCTAACACAAGGGCCTCCCCCTTGCCCAACACACACACACACACCCCCCTACTACACACATACACACTACCTATCTCTCTTACTTTATTTTCTCCTTAGTGCCTGCTGTGTCTTTCATCTATCTTATCTCTTTTAGCTTTTTATCCTATTTATTATCTAGTTCCCACATTAGAATGTAAGCTCCAATTGGGCAGGGAATTTTGTCTGTTTTGTTTATTGATGTATAGTTAACACTTAGAACAATGTCAGAAAATATGGATGAATGAGTGGAAGAAAGGAACAACGGAAGGGATCAGGAATCAGGAGGAGAAATTACTCTAGGCAGAAAAAAAATCAAGAAACACTTCTTGGAGGAAGGCAGAAATTGCACTGAAAGTTGAAAAACGTGGTTACTATTTGGCTAGTACCAAGAAGGATGCATTCTAGGTGGTAGAATGTCTTAAGACTCGAAGGAGAATGAACTGGACCTGGCTGCTCAGGCTGTAGGGGAGGACATAAGATAATGTTGGAAAGAGAGGTGAGGAATGGGGCTCCTGATATGATCCAAAGACTTCAGCAAAAACTAGTTGTAGGAGGACATGTGTCAAAGACTGCAGAAAAGACTTCTCCAACAACTCAGGTTGTCTGAATAATAATCTAGAATATAAAGCAGCATAGAAGAGCTAGCAGTTGTTGAGTGTCTCCTGTGAGCCCGGCCCTGTGTTTTAAATAGTCCTTGCAATAGTCCTAAATTAGTGTTAACTGTCTTTGAGTTAGAAATGTTAGTCTGGGGCCGGCCCCGTGGCTTAGCGGTTAAGTGCGCACGCTCTGCTGCTGGGGGGCCCGGGTTCGGATCCCGGGCGCGCAC